CCATTTACATTAAAAATGTTTAAATTCATTAAGTTTAAAATTTTTATTTAAATGTCATTTCTGAGGTTGGGAGAGGTGGTGCACACCTGTAATCCCAGCACTCGGGAGGCTGAAGCAGGAGGATTGTGAGTTCAAAGCCAGCCTCAGCAATAGCAAGGTCTAAGCAACTCAGTAAGATCCTGTCCCTAAATATAATAAATACAAAAAAGGGCTGGGATGTGACTCAGTGGTTGAGTGCACCTGAGTTCAATCCCCGGTACCTGTCCTCCACACCCCCCCAAAATTATTTCTTACATTTAAATCTCAGATTTAACATTTATTAGCTGTATGATTTTTTGCTTAAGCCTTTACCCTTCCCTACTTAAAAAAAAATAATAATGCCTGTTTTAGTAAATTTTGTGTCACTCTGACCACAATACTCACTCAGCAAAAACAACTTAGAAAAGAAAAAGTTTATTGTTTACGGTTTCAGAGATTTCAGTCCATAGGTGGTTGGTTACATTTCTCTGTGCCCAAGGTGAGGCAGCACCTCATGGGGGAAGGTCCCAGAGAAGGAAAACCACTCATGGTGGAGATAGGAAGCAGAGAGCCGGAGGGGTCAGGGAAGATAACAGGAAATGACCCAAGGGACCCAACTCCAGCCACACTCCCCCTGCCTATAGTTACTACCCAGGTAGTCCATTCAAACTAGGATGGACAGATTAGATCACAACTCTCATAATCTAATCATCTCACCTCTGACTATTCCTGATACTCCTGCATTAATAGGAGCTTTTGGGGGACACCTCATATCCAAACCAAAACACCTACTTTATAGTGATGTTATGAGAATTAAATAATATGTATACATAGCTAGGCCTGGCATAGAACAGGTAACACAATAGTTTCCTCCTTCCTTTATAGCACCTGCTGCATTTAATGGGAGAAGGAATCCATGGAGAACATGAGATGGCTGTTGAAGAGCAGGAAGTGAAGAAAAAAAAAAGCTCTGGTTTCTTTGTTTCCAGGTGTGTAGATGGAGGAAAACTTGCGGATGGGAACAGTGAGGATCAGAACTGGAAGCAAGCCTAGGTTGGTTGTTCTGTAAAGGTAGGTAGGGTCTCAAGAGGAGATGGAAAGATAGCACATGCTTCACACAGGTTGAAAAAAGTGGAGGTGAATGAGATGGGGGTATAAGAAACGTTATTTCCCTCTCTTGACTGGGCCATGTCACAAATGGGTAAAGAATGGTAATTCAGGGAAGTGGGTTCATAACCATTTAGGTAGGAAACAGAAAGTCCAGCAAGGACAGAATATTTCTAAGCTTTCATAGTAAGTTTTACCTCCAGGAACCAAAATCAGTTTATGTATCAAACAAAATGTCTCGTTAAGCCGGAATAAGGTCAAGGCTTTAATTAAATCAACTGCAATTGAAAATATTTAAGAACTATAACCCAACTGAAACTAGATAGATATTTTTTATATTACATTATGTCATGGCAGTATACATAATTATAAAATTTATGGAAAATGTAAAGAGCCAAGTTTTTCCAAAATATCCTTGAAGAATACGAAGTAGGAGAAACTGTTCCACAGACAAAAAGGCTTATTATAAAGTTATAATAATTAATTCCAAATAAGCCAATAGAACAGAATGGAGTTCGGAAACCGATTCATGCAGATGGGAACTCAAGGACTAAGGGCTCTACAGAGTAGGGGAATGGTAGTTATTTCAACAAATGGGCTGGAGCAAGTGCATTTTCACATGGAAATGTACCTTCACATTCAAATGAATGAAATACAACCCCCTCTCATACCATACATAAAAACCAATTCCTAGCTGCATTGTAAATGTAAAAAAAGAACAGACGGACTTCTGGAAAATAACACAAGAATCTTCATGACCTTAGTGGAGAAAGTGATTACCTTATGCACGTACAAAAACAAAGTAGGCAACAATGGTATTACCTCATGTAGGCACAAAAACAAAGTAGGCAACAATGGTTTAACTAAAAGGTTAACAAATCAGATATGAAAAAAATCTGGATCCCAAAGTGAGCATATACCTTGAGAGAAGCACCAAATTACTTGGCTATACAAAGGGGTTCTAATTCAACAATGAGAGTAGTCATGCCAAAAGTAATTGAAGAAATGTACCTAATTGTTCACAAGGCACATGTGACAAGAGGATTACAAGGAAATATACACATTTTGCTATGTATTTCAGTATCTGAATTTTGAAGAATAAGTATGCATTGCTTTCACCACTTAAAATAGCTAAAATCAGATCTTATGATCTGTCACAAAAACATACAAATGAGCATCGCAATAGCAAACTATGAATTGGCTTTACAGAGATCAAATAAAATTTGAGTATTTTCAGACCTAAAGAACATTAAATTCAAAATTCTTGGAAGTAAGATAAGCAAATGATGAAATGTACACATTTCTCATTCAAGAATACAGAATCTCTATGGATAAAAAAACTCACATCTTGGGGGCTGGAGATGTGGCTCAAGCGGTAGCGCGCTCGCCTGGCATGCGTGCGGCCCGGGTTCGATCCTCAGCACCACATACCAACAAAGATGTTGTGTCCGCCGAGAACTAAAAAATAAATATTAAAAATTCTCTCTCTCTCTCACTCTCTCTCCTCTCTCACTCTCTCTTAAAAAAAAAACTCACATCTTTATCATGTAAAACTTTTATAATAATTTTAATGGAAGTTAGCTGTTAAAAACCATAAAATATTGTTAATTAAATGTTTAACAGATATAAAAAAGGATATCAGATCACTTTGGGGAAGTTACTTTTAAATATTATACACTTCCAAAGAAAAACTTTACATTGATAAACTCTTCTACTCAATTTTTCAAGAAAAGATTTTTGTCTTTATGAAAACATAAAACATTTCTTTCTTCTTGAATATTTATATGCAAAATTTATCAAACTGGCAATTTTTATAGTTACAGCCCAAACCAGATAAAATATATGAAACATTTAAGATTAGAAGGCTAATTATGGTACTGTTGCATAGGTTTAATATTCCTGCATAGGTTCTAAATTTATTTGGAAACTAGATTTCTTGAGCTTTGCAGAGGAAACATCCTGACTGATATCTAGTTCTGAAAGCACCACCTTGTGGGAAAAACAAGCACTCTGGATTAGTCAGGACTGCATACTCAGAAGAGAGAACATTCAGTGGACTTCCAGGGCATTAGCGATACTATTTGTTACCTACATAGAGATTCCACAAGTGCTAACTATATAATTATTTGTTAAACTGTATGACTTTTCTGTATTTATTGTGATTAGAAATTTTAAGTTTATAAAAATAAAAACAAGTTTCATCTGTACCTGAATTAAAGGTTGCCTCATCACTTGCCTAAATGCCTGAATTTCCTAAGCAGTTCTATTTTCTAGGACTGCCTAGGAAAACACTGCGTTTGTACCCTTGCTAGATTTTACATAGGAGACAAGAAGTCAGGAAGATTTCTTCTTTGGTAAGCATGGAAGGACTCCCTGCAACATTTTCCTCACCATGTTTTCATTACTACTCTCACAGCCTCCAAGGGCAATTCCAAGTGGTCTGGAATCATTTGAAAGATCCCTATACAAACAGTTCTGAAAACTACCACAGAGAAACCAACAGTAGATTTTGTTGCCTCGATACAGAGAATCAAGGATATGTGGCACATTTAACATATTAACAATATTCAGTTAGACAGGTTTTCTTTACACATTTTATTTACCATATTTCTAGAGCTTGCCACACACTAACTATTCACAAAATGACTTGAATTAGTTGAAGAGATGTTCATTTTCTGTAACTGCCACAGAATCACTTTTCTTAGCGGCTAACTGCATCATATTAAGTATCTCTGTTCATAACCTACAGCAGTGTTAAAGAGAGAAAGACTTACTCCTTTTGCCCAGGAAGCTGTTAGTATACTTCAGTGGCCATGTCTTCACTTTCCCCGTTACCCAGGAACATTTAAACTGGCATGAGACCAGCCATCAGCTGACGCTGCCTGGTCCAAGCCAGTGTGCCATGTATATGGGTTGGAGGGCATACCATTTCAGCTTTCCCACCACCATTTCACCCCAGACTGAATCTCTACTCCATTCAAATACAGGTCATATTGTGGATTTAAAGTGTAATAAAGATGTGGGCAGATCTGCCTTAGAGTGTTTCACAGAACAATGCTTTCTGCTAAGTTAATGCTACTTGCTAAAATAATGTTCAAGTTAATGCTACTTGCTAAAATAATGTTCAAGTTAGGCACAAAACTTAGTTTTTAAAGAAACTCATTAGAATGTTATAATGTAATTTTTGACTTAGGCCATTTCTAAGATGCTATAATATAGAGATATCCATTATCTAAATGCTTCTTATAATTTGACAAGTTCCAGATATAATTATTCTGATGGTAATGAATATTGTTTAATCAACTATTTGCTTCTATGTATGAAGAAATGTCAGGTTGTTGTGCCACAAAGATCCACCATTTCCTTAAGGAGTCTTTAAACATAACTGCCTCAAAGAATGAACTCTCTCAGCCAGACATAGTGGTGCCCGCCTGTTATCCCAGCAACTCAGAGGACACTGAGGCAGGAAGATCCCCAAGTTTAAGGCTAGCCTGGGCCACTTAGTGAAGCTTTATTTCAAAATAAAATTTTAAAAAGATAGGAGTATAGTTCAGTGGTAAAAGATCCCTGGGTTCAATTCCCAGTACTGGGCGGGGGGGTGGGGGAGGAGAAGGAATATTCTCAGGTATCTATTTTTTAAAGAGTGTTAAAAAGGAGAATGGGATTATTTCAATAAAACCTTCTCCAAGATTTCTGGAATTGCCCATTCAGAAATATTTTGTAGGAATCAAAGTTAAAATTAAAAGAAAAGTTTTATTTTTGTCTTTTTGAGATGGGATCTTACTATGTTGCCTAGGCTGACCTTGAACTGTCTCTCCTCCTACCTCAGCCTCCCGAGTAGCTAGAACTGTAAGTATCTCTTTTATTGAACAAAGTTAATATTTGTAAAATATAAAATTTATTTAACATTTTTCTTTCTACAAATAGATGAAAGAAAGAGAATAGCCTTAATGATAGAGAATAATAGAGACAATTGCTACCATTCCATAGGAACATGATGTTTTAAATTTTTGCTACAAATGGAACAAAAACTCAGTAATTCTAACAGACTGTTTTGGCTTTTTTTTTTTAAATAAAAAAATCCATATAGAATTATTCAAACTTTTCGTACTTCTAATCATTCCAAATCTTTGGGGCTACTACCATATGAAGCACTAGGGGAAAAAAAAGAAAACCCATACTTAATGACAAATAGTGATGTGAGGCACAGTTTCACATAGAATGTTCACTTCTGGGAAATACAAAGCCTCTAGAAAATTATTTTTTAAAACAAGAGGTTAAATTTTATAGCTCTTTCCTTCAATTCTGGCTAAATTTAACATTAAGATACTGAAAGTCTTTGATCATGAAGCAGAAATGTATAATGGTGGATTTATTTTACTACTTATTCAAGAACAACCTTTAAGCAAAGCCCTTATTCAGTAAGATATACACTAACATGTCAGTAAAATACATTTTAAATTTTACAAAGCATTCCCAAATAATTTAACAATCAGACTAAAAAATGAGAACCAATGTTATTTTTAAAGCCATCAGCTGAGAAACACCTTCAGTAATAGAGTCATGTTCAGGAAATGATACTTAAAAATATAAATTCTTACATATTAGTTTATCTGTTAAGTAAGTCTTTTTCAAAATTTTCAGTTCACAGAAACAGTTTTAAAATCTTTAACTATGAAGTCTTTGCTTGAAATGTTTTGATTCTTTCTGTAACTTGAAAATTTTTAAGTTCCATTGAATATATTATCTTCTGTTTCTTCTTAAGGAACCAATGTTCATGAAAGGATCATCATCTTCATCCTGAAATGACACAGATGTTAAGTCAGTATTGTTCCATGTTGCCCTGAAGCAAGACAGAAGCAATGGTGTCGGTGAGAGCCACTTTCGCTTCACACAGGCTAGATTTCATTTTTTGCATTTCCTTTATAAGTGTGAAACATATAATTCAATTCAAGTTCTTAATGAGTATTAAAAATAAAATTTGATCCTGCAATATACGAGTGTATATACACATATATATTGAACACCCATTTCTCTCAGTAATTAGACTAAATAAAAGCAAATGAGGTATGGGTAAGCCAGGTAAAACTGAATTAAGTAATTTCTATTTGGTCTGTCAAAAGTTGTTTTTTTTTTTTTTTCCATTTCCCTCCCATTTACATTCTATTACAGTTGTCTGCTATTCTGAAAATTCACCAAAAAATAATGAATTCACATGCAGAAGGTCTAACTTAGAAAGAGCTGTAATTCTTAGTTCCCATTTCCCATTTAGGGCTAGAAGTAGTGTGAGCTACTCTCAGACTACTGAAGAAACAACTTATCAACGCAACCTTTTGGGTTTTTGAAAAAGAAGTAGATGGAATATTTCAAGAGTTTCCATTCTGATGAGCTGTAAATTACATGCATGTTAGAAAACAACAGGAATATGAGATATTAACTAAGAATTTAACTAAAGAAAATGAAAACTAACAAACCTCAGGTAAGTTCAAGTTATATAATTTAATGAGAGATAATATAAATTGATTATATTTTATAATTCAATATTCAGAGGTAAAATAAATTTGTAAATTTCTGATTTATGTTTCTATTAACAAATTAATAAAGGAAATCATTAGCTGATGTTAATTTTATTGATAGTTTTAACAAATTGAAGTGTTAGCTAAATTATTCATCTCTGGTAAGAAATGGATACTTTGAGAAATATAAATTCATTTTCATTTACTGATTCATTTTCTGCTACTATCAAAAGCAGAACCTATTAAATATGAATCCAAAATGAAGTCCAATAGAGAGTTTTCTATCTTTGCAGTTAAACATAAACTAGTATACAAAATTTTAACTTTAATATATAACCACATGTAAATACAGATGCTCTGCTTGCTTCTCTCCTAGAAAAAATATGGTAACATTCAATAGATAGAACGAGCTCTTGCTGATGAGCTCTTGCTGTCATTTTTCCGCCCAGCTCAAGTTGTTTTAAAACTACAGCTGAGATACAGGGAACTTGGAAGTAGCAGTGGAAACTCAAAATGAAAAGGGTAAGTCACATGCCATACCATGTATGAATCCTGAGGACATTTTGGAAAATTAATAAGCCAGTCACAAAACAACACATACTGTATGTTTTCCATTTATATGAGTTACCTAGAGCAGACAAATTCATAGAAAGAGAGAGTTTAACAGTGGGTACACGAACTGGGAAATGGGACCATGTTTAAAGGTTATAGAGGGAAATGGGACCATGTTTAAAGGTTATAGAGTCTCAGTTTTGCAAGATTAAAAAGTTCTAACCTATCTATTATCCTGCATAAAACTCAAAGTGGATCAAGGACCCAGGCATTTGACAAGAGACTCTGGACCTACTAGAAGAAAAAGTAGGCCCAAATCTCCATCATGTCAGCTTAGAAGCCGAATTCCTTAACAAGAGTCCTAAAGCTCAAGAAGTAAAATCAAGAATCAATAAATGGGATTGTATCAAAAACTAAACATCTTATTCACAGCAAAGGGAACAATCAAGAACATTAAGCGAGAGTCTATAGAATGGGAGAAAGTCGTTGCCATCAACAACTCAAAGTATTATTCTCCAGAATATATAAAGAGTTCAAAAACTTCACACCAAAAACCAAATAACCCAATCAATAAATGGGCAAAAAAACTAAACAGACATTTCACAGAAGAAGAAATACAAATGGCCAACAAATATATTTAAAAAAATGTCCAACCTCACTAGCAATGAGAGAATTGCAAATTAAAACTACACTAAGATTTCATCTCACTTCAGTCAGAATGATAATTATCAATAATACAAGCAACTGTAAATGTTGATGAAGATGTAGAGAAAAGGGTATGTTGCCAGTGGGACAGAAAATTGGTGCAACCACACTGGAAAGTAGTATGGAGATTCCTCAGAAAACTTGGAATGGAACTACCATTTGACCCAGCTATCCCACTCCTCCTCGGCAATACTGAAACAACTTAAAATCAACATACTCTAGTAACACAGCCACAACAATGTTTGTTGCAGCTCAATTCACAATAGCTAAGATGGAAATCCAAGCTAGATGCCCTTCAACAGAATATAAAGAAATGTATAAAGAAAACAAATGGATAAAGAAAATGTGGTACATATCCAGAATGGAATATTACTCGGCCATAAAGAGAAATGAAATGATGGCATTTGCTGGTAAATGGATGGAACTCAAGACTATCATGCAAAGTAAAATAAGCCAACCCAAAAGATTAAAGATTGAATGTTTCTCTGATATGTGGATACTGACTCACAACAGTGTTTGTGTGTGTGTGTGTGTGTGTGTGTGTGTGTGTGTGTGTGTGTGTGTTTCCAATCTGGGGTGGGGAGATAGAGGTTCCCTGTTTGAACTATGGACTGGGGGGAATGAAAGGGGGTGGGAATGGGAATGATGATAGAATGAATGGGACAAGACTTTCCTATGTTCATATATGAATGCACAACCAGTATAACGATAGCCATGTATGTATGATATGTCAAAATACATTCTGTTGGGCTAGGGTTGTGGCTCAGTGGTAGAGCACTCGCCTGGCATGTGCGAGGCCCCTGGGTTCGATCCTCAGCACCACATAAAAATAAAATAAAGATGTTGTGTCCACAGAAAACTGAAAAATAAATATTAAAAAAGTTCTCTCTCTCTAAAAAAAATACACTCTGTCATATATAACTAAAAAGAACAAATTTTTAAAAAGTTAAAAAAAGTTCTAGAGATCTGTTTTACAACAATGTGAATATATTTAATACCACTAACCTGTACGTGTTAAGATGGTTAAGTTTTATGTTAAAGTGCTTTTACTAAAATTGAATTTTTTTAATAAAAAGAAATAAATGAAAGGGATGATAGGTCTAAGAGAAATACCTTCAAGGAATTGAACAAAAACTTGTAAACGTCCTTCAAATGGCAGCCATGGAGGAAAGGGAAAGTCCAGTATCCTTCAGTCATGTAGCTTTAATTCAACTTGATGAAAACAATAAATGAATGAAGGCAAGAGGCAAGTCTTGATCATACCTTTTCTATTCCTGCTCATTCAAGTCAGAGGAGATTTAACATTTGTCCGATTCAGACAATCACCTTGAGTTTCCTCTATACATCTTATCAGAAAGCATTTCACTCAATGTCTGAACACTCTGACGTGAAAATCACCACCAGACACCATCTTATATATGAAACATGTGGAGCACACAGTGGGTAATTATTCTATTAAAGTAACATTAAAAGCTCTTACATTATCATCACCAACATTTCTTCAAATATAAATGGTAAAAGCTAAAAAACTATTCTTAGCTTTTATCATTTATATTTGAAGAAATGTTAACTGGAGTGAACATCATCTTTTAAAAATCTGCAGGACTTTCATATGAGAAATTACACAGACGGGCACTCAACAGATGTTCCCTATTGACTTTTAACATTATAGTTCAAAGAAAAGCTATCAATGAAACTATTAAATAACTTTTAGCAACTAGCTAGCAGTCTCTATTTACCTATCACAAAGTTAAAAATCAATTAAAATTTAACAATAAAAGACTTTATTACCTCATCTGATTCAAAATCAACCCCTTTAGTTATTTGGCTCTGGGACATGTGTTTGCTTGCTGATGTGCTCGACCACCTGAGGCAAAAAATAAAGGGGAGGAGGGATAATAAACCAAAGACAATGACATAAAGAATGTATCGGAAATGCATTTCTAGTTAAGTTTCTCAATCCTGAAAGCACCCATGAATAAAAATAATACACAATTCTCTTCAATTGCGCTACAGCAGTAAAACTCTTATGTTAAGAAAAAGGACTCCTGGGCCGGGGTTGTGGCTCAGTGGTAGAACGCTTGCCTAGCATGCATGAGGCACCGGGTTCAATCCCTGGCACCACATTAGAAAAATAAACAAATGAAATAAAGTTGTTTTTAAAAAGAAAGAAAGAAAAAGGACTCTAAACTCAGAGTTTGGATCTCAATTTTTCCATTCACTAGCATGTCTTTAGACAAGTTTCTTTGTGCCTCAATTTCCTCATCTGTAAAATGGGAATAACAGGTTTTTTTTTTATTAAAGATTCAATGTGTTAATATGCTGAAATACACACAGCACAACCTGACATACCAAGCACTGATCAGAGGCTTAATTATAATTATAGTTCTTATCACATATCAAAATATATCTATTATCATCCCCCACTTCTGAAAATTATGGTAACACTGAAATATTTTTTACTCAAATCTCAGTTCTACAACAGAATAAAGGTATCTTTAAAAAGGCCCCACATATTAAAAGAAAGAAAAAAGGCCCACCACTCTCCAGAGGTTTTCTTCTACCAGAGCCCACACTCCTGGCTCTTTATTTGAGCCCTTCCCATAAGCACTCATGATAAGGGCCTGAGTCATAATTTCACACATAATTATGTACTGATTCAATCTTCCTTTAATGGATTCATAAATGGGTTCAACTCTTTCCACAATTTAAGTTGCCTGAAGGCATAACCATATTAAAATAGTTGTTATGTCCCCCATCAGACCTAATTTAATGCTCAAAAAGAAAATATTTAAAAAGGTCACTGATTATTTTCTTCATAGAAATTTCCATTAATTGAGTTTTAGCTAAGCAGTGATCACCCAAAATGTTAATTGTGAAACAAAATGGTACTACCGAATTAAGTCAAGCTCAACAGCAACAGGCAAAAAACAAAAAAAAAAAAAAAAAAAAAAAAAGCCAGGAAAAGCATATAAATACTCTAAGGCAGAGTAAATCTACACCACCTCTTTTTAACACTAGTACAGCACCATGTGCAATTAAGTAAATAAACTATGGTAGTAAAGAAAAGCTGGAATCAAAAATTAACAAAATACAAAATTATTTTCTAGTAAATGGGAAGAAAATCATTGAGTAATAAAGACAAAAGGAAGTGAATTACAGGTTATTTACATTTTCAGTGACAATACTTAACAACACTGCAACAGTTGTACAATCTAGCCCTTGTCTATTTCTTATTTCTGTACATACTTTACTAGTTGAAAATAATTCTGTTGAACTTATACAGCACAGAAAAATGTAAAACTAGAATTCTGGATACTTTTTAGTATTTTGGATTTTTTTTTTTTTTTTCAGAAAGTCCCCAACCTACCTTTGATCTGTTTTTGAGGTAGTAGGAAAAATGTCATCCTCATCTGATTCATCCACCTCAATCTCCTAAGGGTAGGGAAGGAAACAAAGCAACAAATGGTTCTTTTTACGAATGGAACATCTAAATATGAATTAAATAATTGAATCTGAAAGTGGTTTTTTGAAAAGTATATTAAAAAGTCACAAAAAGGGAGCCAGAAAACATGAAAGCAGTAACTATTAAAAATTAAAGTCACCCTGACCTCCCTCCAATGTCCCTCTTTATTCACAAATGGTATTCTCTATCGAATGCCTTAGCTCACTTCTCTCCTCGCCCACACAGGGCCTGGGTACCTACAGGATACAAACTGGTGAGTGACTTGCACAGGCTTGAGGGCAGTGGTGACCTGTGATGTTCTTCCTGGATTCTGATGAGGAGCTAGAACTTCAGTGTTCCATCTCCAATTTTAAATGAAGTATCTAACCATGTGAGAAGTACCAGGTGTCTGTTACATTTGTCCCTGCTAAATACCATTTGTTAGAGTAAGAACCAACAAAGATATTTCTGATTTTTTATTCCATCATGCAAAATACTAGCTATTCCTTGACATTTTGTTATCTTGACATGCAACACACACAAGCTGTCTTCACCTAAATGAAGCACAGATGAGGATAAAACCCCTGAAACAACATCATGTAAGGCCAAGGATGTTGCTAAACATCCTACAACATAAAGGACATTGCTTCATAAATAAAGAATTATCTGATCTAAAATGTCAATAGTGCTGCTAGAGAAACCTTGGTACAGGAGGAAGAGCACTGGCTTGGAAGTTAAGACATACAGGTTTTGAAAGTGAGGTACTAGGGGAGTCAAGCCCATTCTAGAGTCTTTGGAAGCCAAAGGAAGAGCAGAAGGCCCATGTGAAATCCGAGCAGACCACGGAGATCCTTAGGCTCCAACTTTTAGTCTGTGTTGAGTCTAAACTTGCTTTGGATGTTAGTGTTCCACACTCATGCCCTTTTTTTTCAGTGTTGTTACCCTTGAAAATATTACCTTACATACACTCCTTATGGATATTTAGTAATGTGAATCACTATTTTTAAAGGAAGAAAAGAAATAAGAAGAATTCTGAGTTGCCCTCAGTCTATGTAAGTGATAAGCATCTTCTGGCTTTTATAAATAAAAGGTCCTCTTTTATTTACTTTGCAAGTCAAAGAATTGACAATTTATAATGCAGGAAACATAAATTATTAAAAGAGAACTATAAAACCTTTTTCTTACCTCTGAGTAATTCTTAGTAGCAACATTTCGGGAGGGCTGCTGTCTCACAGTTTTAAAAGCTAGAATGCAAAAGATAAAATACCATTATGTAATTCTTAAAATAACTTAGAAAAATTACATATTTCTTTAGCTGAAGATTTTATTTTGTTTTGTTTCTTTGGATTTCTTCTTGGCTTTTTAAAAATGCTTTTATTAGTACATTACAGTTGTACATAATAGTGGGGTTCATTTCTACATAATCATATATGCATGGAATTTATTTTACTCCATTTCAGTCCCCAGTGCCTCCTCTTTCCCTCTGCTCCTCCCTTCCCCTAGTCCCTTTCCTCTGCTTTACTGGTCTTAGCTCAATGTTTTTAAATTCCTATTTGCAAAAGCCCATCATGACCAAGTATAAAACCAAATGTACCTTTTAAAATCGGAAGGCATATGGAATTGCAAGTTCAAATAACTCAAGCTCTACCTGTCAGCCTCGCGCTTATTCAAATATAGTAACAGCAGTAGTCACAAATACACCTGTACTAAAAATACTTAAAAATAATACCCAAAAGATAAAACCTGACCCCCAACCACTGAGCTACAAAGATAATGAAGGTAAACCTCCCAATACCCTCCTTCTTTGCAGTCAATGATAGATATTCTGTGGCTACATTATGAATTTTCTCATTCTATCTTGGTAGTCATATTTGTAAGGGTACTGGATATACCAGAACTATATCAGAGGGAAATTCTATAAAACAGTACATCTTTCTTTTATTCCATGATAAAACTTTCCTATGAATTTTTTTTTCTTTCTTTGCTTTATAAACTAGGTTCAAAATTGAGGTTTAGCTAGCCCTTTACCTTTCCCCTTCTTTTCCCTTGAGATAAAAACTTACAGTAAATTTCAAACACTTGAGGTTTATATTCTCCTAAGTCTTAAAGTTTGCTAATATCACACATATCTCCCCCAAGACAATCTCCAATTTAAATAGGGGAGGGAGGTAGGGAGGAAGGGAGGAAAGGAAGGAAGGAAGGAAGGAAGGAAGGAAGGAAGGAAGGAAGGAGCAAGCCAACCACTCAAAGAATCCTTCAGAGTACAAAATTTCCTAGTCTGAAAACCTCAAGAATCTTTCTACCTAGCCTACATTTACTATTTGCTCCTGTTTCCTGTTCTAGATTCTATCCCCGATCTTGTGATGTCTGAGAGGAGAGATGAAAGGCCGCAGCAAAAGTGTGGTCTGCTCTCTCAATTTTGGTCTCACATCCTACTCTACTAAAAAGGCTAGCAAATGAACAGAAAAGCCAGTGACCATGACACTTGCAAAGAATATTTCTGCTCAATACTTATTCACTATCTCCTCAAACACTGAGATCCTTTAAAAGAAGACATCTTTCTTTTAATCCTCAGTGGATAGAAAAAGATGAAGGTTTATGAAATAAATTAATTTTATCAGAAAAATAAGCATATGTTTTGTTAGAAAGACAATATATTGCAGTGGTTAAGAGGCCTGGTTTTAGATTAAGACTCATTTTGACTTCCTCCCCAGGTAACTGTGACAAGTTCCTTGGCTTCTTTCAATCTCAATATACTCAATTGTAAAATACTGTTAATACTTTATCCAGAAAATTGTTGAAAAGACAAAGAGGTATTTAATGCAAATTGTTTTGGCAAATGCCTAGTGGGCAATGGGCATTCACATGCATGGAGCTGTTAGTGGCAATACATGCAGCAGCAGCAGTGAATCTCATGATGGTAATCACACATAATCGCAGTAGCCGGCAGAGGCATCTTTTAGTTGCTCAGTCACTGTCCTTGGCTAACTTTAATGGAAAAATCTGAGTTGTCAACTCTTGTTTACAACTGCTGTTAGCTAAAAGTGTAATTTCTACTGTTCCCAAAATTTCAGCAAAACAATAGACCTCCAAATTCCATGGAGCTTATTAAAACAGAATTTGGTTTTATTTTTTTCTTGACTCCTCCATTTATAATGGGGATATACAAGTTACAGTTTTAATGTTGCTTCTGTCCCAGTGTGATGACAAACATAGTTAATAGGCCATGGTTATTTTTTTAGAGACTTAAAAAAAAACCACCTCTAACAACAAAAATATTTCACACATTCATATTAAAAACATCAGTTTCTTTTTCAAAACAAGGCCCCAAAATTGGGAGATAATCAATTAAATCAGTAAAACTATGAGATCAAATCAATTAGATAAAAGATAAATTTAGACTCATGATTTATATAGCATCCATCTGGGGCTAGGGATATAGCATAGCAATAGAGCACCACCCTGGCACGCAAGAGGCCCTGGGGGGTGGGGGAGTGCCACTAATACTAATTAGTGATCATCTATTGAGCTTTTTTTTTTTTTTAAAGAGAGAGAGAGAGAGAGAGAGAGAGAATTTTAATATTTATTTCTTAGTTTTTTTCAGCAGACACAACATCTTTGTTTTTATGTGGTGCTGAGGATCGAACCTGGGCCGCACGCATGCCAGGCAAGCACGCTACCGCTTGAGCCACATCCCCAGCCCATCTATTGAGCTTTTACTAAGTACTGTACTCAGTATCATGTATACTTAAGTTCACTTAAAATAACTATTCCATGAGATATGTACAACATTGTCAATTTTATAGCTCAGGGATCTGAGGCTTTCTGAATAATCACAGTTTGCTCTTACTGAGACCTACCATGTATAGACACTTGCAGGTCCCTCGCATAGATTTTCTCAGTAATTCTCAACATGACCCAATAAGGTAGAAACAATCATTACCCCACTTTAGAGATGAGGACATATAAACTTCAAGATGGAAAGTGTAACCAATCTGCTGAAGGACACATAGCTAGACAACGGAGGAGTTAGGAGTATAAGCAAGGTCTTTCTGACTTCGGAATCATGCTCTAACCTTTACACTCTACAATCTCTGTGTAATTTTCATTTAATCAAGTTCAAGAATTTAATATGCATCTACTATGTACCAGGCACTATGGATGCAATAAACAATAATGACCCAGCCATTGTTCCCCTAGCACTTACAGTGCAAGGGTAGCAGGTAACTAATGGGCCTGACCAGACCAAACCAGGACTAACTCTAGAGCTGGGTTCTAAACCATAATGCTACACTGCCTATGGCACCACAATAAGATCTGGACCTTAAACACAACTCAAGAGGATCTGAAGCTTCAAATTAATGTGGTTTACTGACATAGCCTCTTTCAGAGGGGACTATTATTACTTTAAAAAATAATGTCATGATGCAGGCACATCAATGTTTATAGCAGTTCAATTCACTACAGTCAAGCTATGGAACCAAACTAGGTGCCCTTCAACAGCTGAATGGATAAGCATGGAGGATTAGATGAATTCTAGATAGGGAAGAGGGGTGGCAGGGAAAGGGAGGGGGCAGGGGATTAGCAAGGATGGTGGAATGTGATGGAGATCATTATCCAAAGTACATGTATGAAGACTCGAAATGGGTGTCAATACTTTATATATAAACAGATATGGAAAATTGTGGTATATATGTGTAATAAGAATTGTAATACAAAAAGAAAAGTACATGAATAAAGGCATGAATTGGGCTGAGGATGTGGCTCAAGTGGTAGCGTGCTCGCCAAGCATGCGTGAAGCACTGGGTTCGATTCTCAGCACCACATAAAAACAAAATAAAGATATTGTGTCCAACTAAAAACTAAAAAAATAAATATTTTTTAAAAAAATTTAAAAAAATAAAGGCATGAATTGGCATGAACATACTATATATACAAAGATATGAGTGTAATAAGAACTATAATGCATTCCGCTGTCATGTATTTAAAAAAATAAAATTAATAATTTTTTTAAAAATGTTTACTCAGTCATAAAAGTATGAAATTATGGCATTTGCCAGTAAATAGATGGAACTAGAGACTATAATACAAAGTGAAATAAGCCAATCCCAAAAAACCAAAGGCCAAATATTTTCTCTGATATGCGGATGCTAACACACGATAAGGGGGCGTGGATAATAGAAATTCACTGGACAATCCAGTGAATGAAGGGAAGTGAGGAGGAATGGGAATATGAAAAACAGTAGAATGAATCAGACATAATTTTCCTATGTTACTACGTGAATCCACGACCAGTAGAACTCCACATCATGTACAATCATAAGAATGGGATCCTAATTAGAATAAGTTATATTCCATGTATGTATAATATGTCAAAATACACTTTACTGTCATGTGTATCTAAAAAGAACAAATTTTAAAAAGTGAAAAACAAAATAATGAAGTCAGTCCAATTTGTGATAAAGCACCATAACTGGCCCTTTGTCTTTCTACCCTAAAATGAAATTTATTCCACACTCTCAATGCATAACAGGGCAGCTGTTATTAAATAAAAAGATGCTTTCAAAGTCTCTGTTGGCATAGTGATTCTAAAAGAAACTGACACTGTCAAGTGAAAAATGCTCACAAACAGTATGAGCTAAAGTTCTCAATGCAAAGGAAGTGCTACAAGTGAATTCCAAATAAGTAAGGATAAAATCTCTGTATCTATTCATTGTTTTTCATACAATGCTTCTCCTGAAAACAATCCATGCTGCTCCTCAAGCAACAATAGAAAACTTTCAATGGTATTTGAAAAGCACATGAAGTAGCACAGAATTACCTGGCCAAAACAAAAAAAGCTAGAACTCAAAGAAGTACTAGTCCTTTTCCCTGAGGAGCCATTCATTCATGGAAACGTTAATGTTGGCTTTTGGAGAAAAGCTGAGTGAGACAATGCTTAGCGGTGGTGGGGAGACTGAGGCATTTCCTCGACACCATAAGCTGGCACCCCAATTGATAAAGAGAAGCAAAGGTAAACAAGATTTCATAAGTGCATGTCACGCCCCAACAACCCTCAAGTTGTACATTTAGTTTTAAGAGGCCTAAGATTTATTTTTTCAAAATTATTTCATGATTTTATTACTTTACATTTATCTCAAAATAAGGTTTTATTTTATTAGAACAATAAACTAATTTAAATTGACCTGTTTCACACAAATATATGTATACATATGTATATTTTTTATATGTTCTTTTTAGTTATATATGACAGAATGTATTTTTACATAGTATACATATGTATACATATGTAATATAGCTTCCCATTCTTCTTCTTATAAATGATGTAGAGTTATACTGGTCGTGTATTCATACATGAACACAGAAAAATAACGTCTGATTCATTCTACTATTTTTCCTATTCCCATTCACCCTGCCTTCCCTTCATATTACCCTTTGTCTAATCCCAAAGTACTTCTATTCTTTTCTACTTTTACCTTTACAGTGACTTTGCATCAGAGAGAACATTCAGCCTTTGATTTTGGGGAATTGGCTTATTTGATTTAGCATGATAATCTCCAGTTCCATCCACTTAACAGCAAATGCTATCATTTCATTTCCCTTTAGGGCTGAGTAATATTCCTTTCTGGATAAGTACCACATTTTTTTTTATCCATTCATTTATTGGAGGGCACCTAGGTTGGTTCCATAGCTTAGCTAATGTAAATTTCGTTGCTATAAACATTGTTGTAGCTGCGTCACCACAGTATGCTGATTTTAAGTCCTTGGGTATGTGCCAAGTAGGATAGCTAGGTCAAATGCTGGTTCCATTCCAAGTTTCCTGAGGAATCTCTATACTGCTTTTCAGAGTGGTTGCACCAATTTGCAGTCCCACCAGCAATGTGTGAGTCTACCTTTTTTCCCACATCTTCACCAACATTTATTGATACTTGTATTCTTGATAATTGCCATTTTGAATGGAGTGAGATGAAATCTCCATGTAGTTTCAATTTGCATTTCTGTAATTGCTAGAAATGTTGAGCATTTTTTCATATATTCATTGACCATTCATATTTCTTCTTCTGTGAAGTATTAAGTGGCCTAAGATTTGAGGTGCCCTAGAAGTCTGGAGAAACAAAGACAAATCTTTTCTTTTCAAGAAGAACACTACTTCATCCAAGGTCTGATTATTCTATTTCTACTGACAAATTTTCTAGGAACAACAGATAACAAAACATCCAAAGAAATAAGTCACCATGAATAACAAACAACAGAAACAGAATTCACAAAAGAGGCCAAAGACATTCAGGCATTAAGTCATAGACACAAAACATAAAACAAGTGTCCTTACTATGCATACAATAAATAAATAAATAAATAGATAGATAAATAGATAAATAAATAAAGACCTAAAAACATCCATAGGGAATTCTTAAAAACTATGAAAAGTGACAGATCATATTTAAAAAGAATCAGAATTTCAATACCAGAGTCCTCCCCCACCAAAAAAAAACAAAAAACAATTAACTAAAAATACAAAAGAATTTCAGAATAGATGAGTTAGAATATAGATCAGATATTGAGAGCTTCGAAAGAATCATTGCTTTGAAGTATGTGACCTTGGATAGCAAGAGGCCCCTCCTGGGTGCGTGGAGAAATTCCCACTCCCAAGTGGCTCCTGTTGATAGGGAGAATTCCATTCTTGTCATGGAATTTACTAGATCAAAAGCCTTGAATTCAAATCCCAGCTGCCTGGAGGTAGAAGAGTTGGGTTTAAACAAGTAAACCCTGTGTAACCGACATGATTCTGCAATCTGCATTTGGGGTAAAATTGGGAGTTCATAACCCACTTCAATCTAATGTATGAAATATGATATGTCAAGAGCTTTGTAATGTTGTGAACAACCAATAAAAAAAAAACAAAAAAAAAAACTTCCTCCTGTTTACCTCAAGAAGCCTTTTCATAGTGAATCCCTTTGATTTTTAAAACCTATATGATAAACATGCAGAACCTCAGCTCATTGCCCAGTCAGGTCCCACCAGGGCTGATTCACCCACTGAGTCCTACTTTTACCTATAACTGAGTAGTTCCCTCCCTTCCTCCCTCTCTCCCTCCCTCCTTCCTTTCTTTCCTTCTTTCTTTTTTTATTTTTACTTTTTGTGGAGCTGGGGATTGAACCCAGGGCCTTGTGCCCTATCTTTATGTCTTGTACTTTTCTTATTTTCCTAATCTGCCCACTGCCTGTATTTGGAGAACTGTTCACTCGCTGTGCAGGTCATGGCAATAATCAGATATGATTATTCAGAACGGAGTGCAGGAAAATAGCATATACAAGAGAAATTAAGAATGAGCCAGATGCAGTGCTGCATGCTTGTAATCCCAGCGGCTCAGGAGGATGAGGCAGGAGTATCCTGAGTTCAAAAATCCCCAACCTCAGCAAAAGCAATTTGCTAAGCAACTCAGTGAGACCCTGTCTCTAACATAAAATACAAAAACAGGCTGGGAATGTGGCTCAGTGTTCGAGTGCCCCTGAAATCAATTCCTGGTACCACTCTCCCCTCAAAAGAATGAAAATGTCTCACAGAAGGAGAAATAAAATAGGAATGAGGAAATATCTGAAGGGATAACAGACAAGGCTTTTCTAGAAGGATACAACACAAATTCAGAGATATATGAACCAATAAACCCTAAGCAGCATAAAAAAGAGCACCATACTTAGATTTATAAGAACAAAACTATAGAACACCAAAGACAACAAGGTGAGGGGAAAAAAATAGATTACTTAAAAAAAAAAAAAGAAAAAGGAATGCAGCTTAATTAACAGCTGATATCTTAATAACAGAGGAAGACTGACTTTAAATGATTAATTATATTCACTCTATCAAGGAAAACTTCACATAAGTAAGCTAGGCAGAGCAAGGTCATCGGGGCTAAGATAAAAGCAGGCCATCTACAAGTTACCATCTGTCTGTAACATGCTAATCAACTTCTGGTGGTTTAATATAGAAGTGTTCATATTTTATTCACTCTCTTTTTCTCATTTTGTATAACAACAACATTTCATAAATGCCTACTATGTGCCAAAATTTTTGTTCAGAAAAGCCTAGTACAGTATGGATTATCATTCCTAATTAACGTGTAAACAACCTAGGACTGTAACCTACTTGAGTAAAGTCACAAAACTTTTCCATATTGAATTCAGAGTTGAATTCGGCCTGCATTCTTTACAATATAAGATGCTGCCTTTTCTTTTTTTCCCCTTCTTTGCTTTTGTAACTGAGGTATCAGAAATGGAAGATCTTCTTTCTGAACACCATTATCTACCTGGCCAAAAAGACAAGTTTCTGAAATCAAAAGCTAAGGTTATTAGAAGACTCTTCAAAGTGCTGAATAATACTTCAGTAACTAGACCTTTATCTCTTCCCCTGCACTGAAGTCAACTCAAAATGGATCAAATATATCTAGGAATTAGACCAGAAACTATGCAACTCCTAGAGAAAAACATGGGGTCTACGCTCCAACATATAAGCACAGGCCATGACTTTCTCAACAGGACCCCTAAGGCTTAGGAAATATGCCAAGAGTTAATAAATGAGACAGCATCAAATTAAAAAGTTTCTGCACAGGAAAGGAAACAAGATCAAGAGAGAACCTACAGAACGGAACAAAATCTTTGCTAGCTACACTTCTGATAGAGGATTAATATCAAGAATATGTAAAAAACTTAACACCAAAAAAATCAAATAACCCAATAAATAAATGGGCAAATGAACTAAAGATACTTCTCAGAGTAAGAAATATAAACCACCAACAAATATATAAAAAATTCAACATCAATAGCAATTAGGGAAATAACAAAACTACACTGAGATTTCATCCCACTTGAGTCAGAATGGCAGCCATTAAGAATATGAACAAAATAGATGTAGAGAAAAAGGAATACTTTTTCACTATTAGTGAGATTGTAAATTAGTACAACCACTGTGGAAATCAGAATGGAAGTTCCTCAAAAGACTAGGCATGGAACCACCATGACCATCTATACCAATCCTCAGTATTTATCCCAAAGAATTAAAGTCATAACACTATAGCAATTCATGCATACCCATGTTATAGTAGCACAATTCACACTAGCCAAACTGTGGAACCAGCCGAGGTACCTATCAATGGATGAATGGATATCAAAACTGGGGTATATAAACACAATGGAGTTTTATTCAGCCATAAAAAAATAGGAAATCATGACATTTGCAGGAAAATGGATAGAACTTCAGAACATTATGTTAAGCAAAAAAACTCAGAAGGTTGAGGATCATATGTGTTCTCTCACATGTGGCAGCTAGAGGGAAAAAAGAAAGATGGTGGTAGTGAATCTCATGAAAATCAAAGGGAGATCAGTAGAACAGAGGAAAGGGACCAAGGGAGGGAAGACAGAGAAGACAAAGAAAGGGAAAATCCTGATGAATGATGTTGGCCAAATTATATTGTTATGTTGTGTGTGTACAAAGATTTAACAACAAATCCTACTTTTATATACAACTGTAATGCACCAATAAAACAACATGTAAATAAAACAGAGAGTTTTAATTGATCTGATGATTGTGTCCATTCTCTATCATCAGTTGCCATTCAATAAAAGCTGAAAAACTTCCTTTAAGGGAGAGACAATAATTCTTTACAAGGCAGCTTACTACATCTTTTTTTTTTTTTTAATTTTTTAATACTTAATTTTTGGCAGACACAACATCTTTGTTTGTATATGGTGCTGAGGATTGAACCCGGGCCGCATGCATGCCAGGCGAGCACGCTACCGCTTGAGCCACATCCCTAGCCCGCATCTTTATTTTTATATTAATTAGATCCCATACTTCACTTTGCTAGGCAATCATGATCCCTCTGTCAAAGATAAATAATAATTCTATTTGTCTAAAAGAAATTATTTAAAACATTATTAAAGTTTACTCTCCAATAGTTTTGATGCATGACAAAGATCTTTTAAAGAATAACTTATCCTATAATCTTAATAGTCCTTTTAACTGTAATGAATGCTATACAAATAAATGAGGGCTACTATGAGGGGTTTGCTCAGTCTTTTTAAGTTGGAATTTATAAGTTCTGCTAGATAGTCACTTGCAGCCTGTACTCACCATCTATAATAGACATATTTCTAGATGTTGACACGGTGGCCTTTGAGTTCCTGCTTCGAGTAGAAGTCTCTAGAGCATTGCCTGCTATTAGAATAATGAACAGTCAATACACAATCCCAACAGTAACTAAGGCTTTTTCAAACACCACCAAAAAATGAAAACTATATAAAGTTATGCCAAAAGTTTGTAAAAACTGTAATTCCAGTCACTTGGGAGGCTGAGGCAAGAGTATTGCAAGTTCAAAGCCAGCCTCAGCACCTTGGCGAGGCCCTAAGCAACTCAGCAAGAGCCTATCTCTAAATAAAACATTTAAAAAAAAAAAAAAAGATTGGGGATGTGAGTAGTAGGTAAGCATCCCTGGGTTTAGTCCTTGGTTAAAAAAAAAAAAAAAAAAAGTTTGCAAAAAGCCAAAGGCCTATATTAGAAAATGTAGAGTCTGACCAATCAATTTTCAGACATTAGACTAATGCTTTTAAATTATGTCTGGTTCACATTCATCCATTTAAAATTTCAGAAAAAAATTCATCCATTTAAAATTTCAGAAAAAAAAATTTGTAAATATGAAGATAATGATATCACTAAAAGATGGAGATTTCTCTCACTGAAGACTTAAAGCTAAATTACTATTCATTTTGCCAACTTATAATTCACTTGAATAAATATTTAATGAAAATAATTAGGAAATTTCTTTAGGGACGGATTTAAACAACACATTAAGAAGTCACTGGATGACCATTTTCCATTGTCTGGACTATTCAATAGCAACAAAGGTATATTAAATACAGAGATAAAAATAATTTTAACAATTGGTTTTAAAAATCAAATTATTTTGGGGAGGTAATTTTCCTTTTTGAATGAATTTTATGGAGAACACTTTATAAGACTGCAGGTATTTTATCTTAGACAGTAACAAAAATAATTCTTTTATGATCTGGAGTAGTCATTAGCTAACCATTTTCCTTAATGATTCATATTTGTCTCATTATTACTTTGCACATGTGAGAGAAAATGTGACAATAAATGTACCCATAATGTACTATGAGAGAAATACAATAAAGCTTCAAAAAAATATAGGTTAAGAACAATTAAAACTCTATGTTGGCAGGGCACGTTGTGGCACATGCCTGTAATCCCAGTGGCTCAGGAGGCTGAGGCAGGAGGATTGTGAGTTCAAAAGGCAGCCTCAGCAAAAAGTGAGGCGCCAAGCAACTCAGTGAGATGTTGACTCTACATAAACCACAAATTAGGGCTGGGGTTGTGGCTCACTGGTCAAGGGCCCCTGAGTTCAATCCCTGGTACAAACAAAACAAAACAACAACAACAAACTCAATTTTGCAGGTGACCATTCAAAATTCACTTAAGTTAAAGGTACATGTCAAAACTTAAAATGTCTTTTGCATTATAATAATCAAATTGTAATTGGGCATGGTGATGTATACCTATAATATCAGCTACTTGGACTTAGGCAGGTTGATCTGCCTGGGAAACTTAGTGAGACTCTGTTTTGAAACAAAAAATAAAAAGGGATGGAGATGTAGCTCAGAAGTGTAGCACTTGCCTAGTATGCACAAGACTCTGGATTCAAAAGGAAAAAAATGTTTTTTAAAGAATCATGTTCCAGAAACAAAGACGTGTAATAACTCAGTTCTGACCAAAAGATACTAGGTACTACTTCCCACTCAACTTCCAAGTCTGCAGCATGCAAGACAATATTTAGTACTAACCTCTGCCTCTTTGAGACCCTCCTCTTGATGCTGAATTCTGCCCTCTGCCTCCTCTTCGACCTCTGCCTCGGCCTCTTCCTTTGTTGGGTCCTGCTGAGATGCTATCATCAGAGTCATTTGCCATTTGTTCTGCTAGATCTATACTCATGAGGTCATCAGCACTAAAGGCAGATGTGTGGTCTTCTGATTGACACCTGAGAGCTCGGGCCCTATTCATGGCCTGTGTAACAGGAAAAACACACATCAGAAAATAGTGCAGCATCTTGACAATCACTAATTTTGTCATTCAGATGAACAGTTAATATTGTCAAACTGTACATTTTATTATTTTTCACTAGCTGACTATAAAAGTACAAAAATTCAATGTATTTGTATAAAAAGCATAATCAAATTTGATTTCTATTATCTGTCAGATCAATTTATAATACTACCTGTAAAATGAAACCTTTTGAAAAGGTTTACCAATCAAAATAGAATTTAAAGAATCGAAATTTTAAAAACTAGATGGAAATCTGGCTATAACTCCTACTTCAAAACCACACTTATGAGCTACTTTTTAGAATGAGCTCTTAATAAACAACAATTAAAAAAACTTACACAAAGTAGTTATTTTCTCTAGGTGGTGAAATTTCAGGGTGCTTATCTTTTCTTTTTTATTCTTATACCTTATACAATATGCTTTTTCTAAAATGTTTGTTTCCATAAACAGAAACAATAAATAATCTCTTACAACTATAAGCATATTAAGGTTTGAGAAGGAATAAAAATCGTGGAACCAACAATATGCCACAATTTTTTTATTTTGATAAGAAACCATATAGAAAAGATAAGTTTGAGACTTAATCAAATATTCTAACTCTAAAATGAATACAGATTTTTAAATTAAAAATTGAATAAAAGCAATTCTGCCTTGTCTCTTTGCTTAAACTAGCAAATGTAAAAGGAGTACAAAAACAAAATGCATTTTTCAATAAAACTAGAAAATAATTC